ATATTAACAGTTGAATTTAAAATGTTATTTTTTTATTTTTCTTCTCATAATACAAATTGCATTTAAAGGGATGTGTGAATAAATAAAGAAATGGTATATTACTTGTTTTATGCATATTTATTTTTACCCAAGTATTGGCTAAGCATGGAAACCCAAGAGAATTTCATTAAGTAAACTTTAACCTCTTTGACTAATAATACCAATGGAAAGTACAATAAGTCAGATGCTCTATTTAGATAGGGACACTAATGTGTAATTTGCAGTATTTGAATGGTTATTAAATAATGTAGGAAATGATCAGAGCAAATGCTCTAAAAATAGCACAACTGTTTTAACTATCTATGGGGGTTAACTTCTGTGTACCTTCTGTACAATTTCAGACACACATCCCCCCCCCCCTGCTGAAATCTGAAATGGCACTCCCACAATGGTTGCAGGCTATTAGAATTCAAGGCACGGAAGTATGGGAATAGGAAATCACAGTTGTGAATATATAAATCTCCCATGAAAAAATATTAATCATTATACACTAAACAACCAAATGTCTACAGTACTACGATGCACTGAGTTTGCATGATTTATTTCAAGGCAACCGTACTACCACTAGTTGTAAATTGGCTTTAAAAAAATCGTGATGATTGCTAAACCTTCTTTCCACCATTGAGCAGGAAGCAAATTTTAAAATCAAAAACAGGTTGTCTGTTCAAATTGGCTCTCTTCATGCTCTACTTTGGGCTGGGTGGTTTCATTGGATCCAGAAGCATTTATTATTTGAAATAATAGAAAACTTTAAAACCATTAATAATTATTTTTAGCCATTGAATTCGTAGAAACAAAGCCATACAATAAACTTTGTGATGTGTATTACATAATGCATAAACTGATACATAGATATGTCTGACCAAATCGAACCGACAGCACGTCAAAAAATTATGAATGGGGATTGTAAACAGACTATACATTGGCGTGGCAACAACTTGTTTATGTCACATCATCAGGCATAAGCAGACAGTATGTTGTCCTAACAACAGTTTGCTATACATCATATTGTTGGGTGTGGCTAGAGCAAAAGAATGTGGGCTACAGTAGTCTGTAGTAAAAGTGGTATGGATGATGTATCAATTACATCATGACATGACATAGAACAGGTAGTTTACTACTGGTACATATCTGTCAATCATGGTATTTCAAGTTTACAAACAATGTGATTACAAAATCTCTCCTAGACTTTCATAGGTAAGCCCGTACTTCATTATTAATAGTTGGTTGTAGACAATTTTAATTTCATTTATTTATATAATATGAATCCGCGTGTCTGAGTTTGAAATTGATGGCTTTTACTGGGACTACATTTTATTTTGTCTTCACATGAGTTTCACACAGTCTCAGGTTACCAGGTAAAGTGGTAATTTGATATCAGTCACTGACATTTTGTTAACATTGTTCCAATAGGAAAGTCGCTTGGTGTGGAAGGTCGATTTACAGATAGGATTTTTGATTGTTTTTCATTAATTGTTAACTACATAATTGAACTTGCAGTGTATATCTACTACGTTTTGACTGTGTATGAATTGTTTTTATTTTCATTACTTAAAAATCACCCTACTGTAATCAGCTCTGGAGTTTTTTAAGATTTAGGTGCACTGCAAGCTGAGCCATGAACTTTTGACTAAACTGTCATATTACAAATTATATTGTAAATAATTTGGCATATATGTTCATCGAGAAAATAGTTTTACTACTAAATAAAATAAATTACTTAAAAACATTTTTGCACCTGTTGTCATTAAGTTTTGATATATATAAAGTATTTTTTTGATAGTTATTCATGTCATGATGCTTGATACAGACATCTATATGTAACATCTAATAACCATCTGATTGATTTAGGGGACATAGCTGACCTTACCTTTGTGTTCTTTGACCCAATTGGCCAAGCTTTATGCAAGCGTACCATTGATCTTGTAGAAAAATTGAACACCAGACATGGGGATCGACTGAGATTCTACTTGAGCAAGGCAGATGAAGCAGGAGATGAAAGCGATCGACAGGTAAATAATGTGTCTTCAGACTTAAATACAGGAGAAGTGAATTTTAGATTGACTGAGCATTGATTATTTCTGACCTGTGCACAACAAAAATTATATTTCATATTCCTGAACAAGAAAGTTCACATGCATTTATTAATTGTGAAATGCATTCCATTTTGTAGTAAATACATGGATCCTGCACTAGAAGCTATGCCTTACTCAGCATACAGTGTTCTACACACATTTCGAATAATGTAAATGATTTTAATGTAATTGTAAGTAAATTGGTTATTTATTATTTAGATATTGAAGACTAGTAGAAATATCAATAAAACGAAATTCATACACTTAACAAATTAATACCTGACATGCTACAAAGAAAGAGGTTGCTATAGCTTAATCAGACTTTTACATCATAATATATAATTTGTATAGCTTTGACTTGCGAACTGCCAAAGTATCTTATTACAATATACACATATATAAATGTGTTCATATATAAAGACTATTGTTTGGCATCAGATTACTGAATTTCTAAACTGACTTTTCATCTGTAGGTAATTGGAACTGACTACATTATTTAAAAAAATGAAAACATGTTTTAATAAGATTAAACTAAATATTTCAGTATTTCTGTGAACATGTAGAAGTGGCATAAATGTGATGAAAAACTATTCAGTATAAAATAAAATGGCTTTTATACCATGATGTAGGATCACAATGTGCATGTGTAATAGCAGTTACTATTAAGTAACTATTACTGAATGTTAAAACCATTTTTTTCTAATATTGAGATTTTTCATATTGGTAAAACCAAATATTTTGTCATTTTGAGCAAAATGAAGTGTTCTTACATTGAGTTTATTTGTTAGTATCATGTAGTACATAAATGAAATAATATATCTAATTTTAATTGTTAAAATATATGAACTGTTTATCTTTGATGATGGCACAATCATTGATGTATGTAGGGATTTCAACAATAAAAGTTAATTCATCACATTTTATACTAAATGCATTAATTGTGTGCTTATTTATTTTTTGAAGGTTATATTACACATATAATTGTGTTTACTATAAACTTTAGTATAATAATTACATCAGATTTTAAGAGATAAGCATATTTTAAAAATTGTATTGTAACTATTTAAATCAACACCTGGATTTCAAATAGAAAAACTATAATTTGCCTTGACGACACACCTACAAATAGAAACTTGTTTATTCATGAGTAAAATGTACATAGACAAACTGTGAATGCTTATAGATTGATGTAAATTTCCACCCAAATAAATAGTGCACCATAAAATGCTAGAAGATTCATCCTGTGTCACCAGTTGAAAAGCAGAAAAACATTCTTCTTACTAGTATTCTAGATAATATATTTCATTCTCATGCAATGGATGTATTTGTGTAGAATGCACAGTAGATATTTTAGTAAAGTTTGTATAATTCTGTTAAGTAATTTAAGTGATCTCAATTAGTGTATTTCAGTGTGTAACATATTATTTTACAAGTAACAAAGAAGATTTTGCACAAATTAAGTGTCGATGTAGGATGGCAGTGCTACAAAGTACAGAAACAAGGTAGGGATGAATACACAAACCATCAAAAATCACTACATAAGTAGCCAAATCTTCCCAAGAATAACTTTTATCTACAACTGAATGTTGAACTCCTGTCAGTTGCATGAAGTCAGGTTTGAATAAAAGCATTTCAACTGAATAGTGCTATACAGTCTTACAGTGGCCAATAACCATAAGCTTATTGGATTGACTCAGTACTTACTAACTACTGACGTAGGGATTTTTGTATGGTTTTGTGTATTCAACCCTACCTTGTTTATGTAATTTTCAGCATTGTCATTCCTACATCATACTTAATGTGTTCAATTTTTTTATTACTTGTTCCCCCTCCTATTTTGTAAACAATTTCATTGAAGTAGGTTGATAAATGAACATTTGTTTTATTTTCATAATTCAGTAGTAAAATATATTGTTAGTATCATATCAGTTTTGTCAGTTTCTTTCTTTTTTATTACATTGGGGGCCAGTGAAGTTGGAATTGTTCCTCCAGGATGGTACAAGTACCCTGGCATGCTGGACTAATGTTCAGGAGATATTTACAGAACCAGTGCCTTCCATCCTACCCCCAACTCTCTGCATGTGCATACAATCAACTCCACTACATGCTAGGCTCATGTTGATTAATAGGGAGGACATCATATACATCCCAGGCCATGAAGTATGATACTATGCATACACACACAGCTGCCAGGCTCAGCCCCACCAAAAATTTGAAGAAAATTAGACAGCTATATATTTTGTTTTAATAATTAAGAAACTGGTGTTTTTAAACCCAAACATCAATAACATGCACACAGATCTGTCAGTTGCATAAAAACTTGATTTCCTTGATACCTTGAATATTAATTTAGATTATTTTTTATTTATTTATTTATTTTTCCTGAAACTGTTTTGGCAGATATCATGCCTGTGCAAGGAAAGTCACAATTGGTTGTTATATAAGAACAGTTCATGCTGCTATGTAGTGACTAGAAATGAAACTGTTATTTGTGAAACATGGAATTAATATATGCTTATAAACTGAACTCACTGCTAAATAGTAGTTTTGCTTTTTATTATATCCCTACAAAAACTTGTGTGGAAGAAGAACAGAATAATATTACTGTCACACAAACTGTGAGACACTTGATAATAGCAATTAGGTGCACAAATAAGGCTATATGTCAACTTTAGCAGTTATTTGTAAGCATCACAGAGTAATATATTGAATGTGGTGGTCATTACTTTCTCGGCCCATCCCTACACACTAACCACTAGTGTGCTTAGTGGTAGCCTGTTCCCAAGTGCTCTTAAAATGCTTTTCTGTTGTACTAAAGCCATTGCAAAAACTTCCTTCATTTTTTGGCTAGCTTGGAAGAAGAGAGAAATGAGATGAACACATTGGCTCTTTAGCTAGTACCAAGTTCTCCACTTCAGCAACACTTTTCAATGATATTGGGAGTCTCACAAGCTGTTAAACAGTTGATAATGGCAATTAGGTGCTGAAATTATGCTATATATAACTGAACTTTATCAGTTATTTGTGAACATCATAGAATAATAGTTTGAATGTGGTGACTATTACTTACTCAGCCCATCCCTACACACTAAACACTAGTATGCTTAGTGGTTTATTTATTAATTACCAGGATCTTATAATTTGCACTTAGAAATTTATTTCTTATTTATTGTTATATAAGTATGATCTATAAATATGTTTATATATCTATAGAGTTTGTCTTCTGTAGCTATTTATTGTTATAAATTTCAGTGATATGACTTGCATTTTTTCACAGAAAGTAATGATGCAGATTGTACAAGAGCTGTGCAAAAGACCTGGCCTGAATAAATGTGGGTTTGACATGCCCACAATATACATCCCACTTTCTAATAAGGTAAGAGTGTTTGTATTTGAGATCTGGGCTTATAAGCCTCACATTTCAAAATTTAAAAACAGTTGTATGGAACAATCAAAGAATACTTAATACTACGTTGCAAGTATGGAACTAGGTTTATAGCTGTGAATAAGTTTGACAGTAAAGCAAAACAAAATGTGGAATAAAACAAACTGATCAAAGGAGGATAAGGTTACAGTTCTAAAAGGCAATAGAAAAAAAAGAAAATTCTCACATTTAAACTTAATTTCCTGATAGAAGATATTACAAAAAAAAGGAGGTAATTAAATTGTATGTATTATAACCCAGATGCCTGAGTGCTTTTCAAAATTGGACTCTTCTTCAGGTGAAGAAAGAATAAATATTCATTCTTTTAAAGTGCTTGAGCTTCTAGATTGAGTTCAGCATTTTTAATATTGTCTAACGCATACTTGAATAAGGTTAGAGTGGTTGACTCACAATCTGCAGAGTAATTATTTAAATCCCACCACTAAACGTTTGTTTTTCAGCTGTGAGGGGGATGTTATAATATGATGGTTAATTCCTTATTTCTCTGGTAAAAGAATAGCCCAAGATTTGACAGTGGGTGGTGTTGACTAGCTTTCTTCTTTCTGGTCTATGACATCTAAATTAGGGATGATTAGTGCAGCTAGCCTTTGAGTAGCTTTGCATGAAATTCCAAAAACAAACAAACACACATACTTGAATAATCTATTTTTTACACAAATTGTTATTTTTGTTCTCTTATTTATTGCACTCTTTTATGAGAAATTTGAAAGTCAGTAGCTAAGAAATTTATTTTGCAGTGTAATTCATTAAGTACCACCCTTATTATTGTTTTTTTCTTCTAGTATGTATCAAATAAAACCATAGTCACTATTATTTCTAAAAAATGTAAATGATATATAGTAAAAAGTATATTAAAACTATATAGTTTTATTGTTGAATGGATTCTTATTCAGTAAAAAGAATAATGCAAAGTCCAGCTAGTCCATTTAACAACAACAAAAATGTTTTATTTCTTTGACTTTAAGTTGTAAACATAATGTAATCATCTTTCACTTTTAAACCATAATTTTACAGTTAAACATGATTCATTATAGTACAACAATATATGGGTCTACTTATAGTTCATATATAAACAAAATATTGCAGTTACAAAATAGTATAGTGAAAAACTTTTACCATTGTTCCCCCGATGTGACAGTGCTTACAATGCTAAAATCCGAGGATTGATTTCTCTGTGGTGGACACAGCAGATAGCCAAATATAGCTTTGCTCTAAAACAAACAAATGAACTCTTACCAATGAGAAAAATAAATAATAATTTGGTCACTTATGAAAGATATAAAACTTTGAATATATTAAATGCATCTAAATTACACCAATATATCGTTATTATAACGCACTATTTAATAACATATGAAAAAAGTTAGGTTATTATAAATTACCTGAAGTAAAATATAATTAACAGAATTTATCATTTCTATATATATTTATTTATGTAAGAAAATATTTAGAAAATTTTGTTTAACAGAAATTTGTGATGTAAGTTCTTTCCTAAACTTTCAAAAAGGTTCTATTCATTAAAACCACACCCATCACATTAGGTTAAATGTACTCCTAGTAATACAGTTTTATAAAAGTGTCTAAACTAAAAGCATAGCCTACAACAGTATTTTAAATTGATTAGTTTTGACCATAGGTGTAAAATATCAGATCATTTTCACACTACTCTGTTCATTACCATATTAAAAAATAATTTTAATGTATTTGTTTTTTCTACTTTAAAATTGAAAAAACATGTAAGTTACAAAATGAAAGAGTTTGTAAATATTTGGTAATTTTTAATAGCTTTTATAAAACAGTGTAAAAATAGAAAGCAAACAGTTTGTCTGTAGCTTATATTTTGTCTACATAATATACCAATGAAATGTTTTCAAGAAATAGCTCATAAGCTGCTTACCATATAAGTTAACTAAGAAGTGTCCAAAATAGATTGATATAGACCAAGTCAAGCTATAAATATTTTTATACAATCATGAAGTTTTGGTTTTTAACCAACCCAACAGTCAATCAGTTGAAGTATACTTTAAGATTTAAAATTTTGATCGTTTTTATGTCTTTTTTCTTTCAAGTCTTTTAGTATTCTGTATAGCTAAGTTTATTGATGAGAGAGTTCAAAATCTTTCTTACAATACTGAAAGATTATAAACCGAATTTAAGGATTTAAACCGATTAAGTATAATAACTAGAAAAGTTTCTTAAATAGTCATTGTATTATAACAGTATGAAACTTGATAATTAAAGCTGAGAAAGTAAAACTTCTTGAAAGTTATTATAGACAAAAAACAGTTTCTTGTTTGATATGTTTGAGAATTTTGTGTTCATGACTTACTGTTTGTGTTGTTTATATATTAAACAGTTTCCATTGTTATTCTTCCAATTATCAGTATGTTCGCTGCATTAATCAGATAGATGAAGTCTGTAAAGACATAGAGAAAACCATCAATCAAACTATTCAGAATATGCTGAATACTCTAGAGAAAGACTGTGAACATGTGGCAGAACTTATTAATGCTCGTATTGAAGAAGATAAGTAAGGGTTTTTTTTTAATTCCTCCACATTTTCTGCCTTTGCTTAAAAATTTAATTTTTATTTGTTTAATTTTAAAATATTTTTCATCTATTATCAATTTACTGTGAATAATATTCTTACTATGATGCACATAGCATGTATATGTATCTATCTATGTATTGAATGGCACAACAAACAAAAATGCATAAAAGAATTTCTCACTTAGGGTATTCAAGATTCAAACAATTATAAAAATAACTGCAGGATGTGCAACTTCCATTTATCTATCATAGAGCACAATTTGAAATAAAAGTACTTTCCTCACAACAAGAACATGAATTTCACTAGGACTGTATGTGAGGGTTTGATTATATCTATTTATGTAATTTATAAATATAGTACTAAAAACTATTTTTTCAATAAAGAGTACCACTTTTAATATATAAAAACATTACAGATTATATAAGCACAATCCAAACACTTTTCCTGTGCAGTACTTCCCAGAAAAATCCTTTTTTAGAAAATGTTTACTTTTTACATTTTTTTCAATAAGATTTAAATACTATGATTAGTAATTATTAACACAAATTGCCACTTGTAGGGTGGCATTTCTGCTAGTGACAGTAATTTTTTATGGTATTATTTTGGGTAATTTGATATGTGCATCAAAGGTGAGAACATTTGCTGTTATGTTAAACTTATATTAAAGTTTTTCTTCATTACCCATTCAAGCCATATCCAGCCATTATTAGCTATGCTATCAATTTTTCCCATACCCTGTTTCACCCCCTTATTTTCTTCCTTATCCTGACTGGTCCTTCCTCCCTAAGACTCTGGCTACTTGGGAAAGTGATGGCTCTTTCTCTCCTATTTCTCTTCTTTCTATTTCTCATCTCAACAATTGATTGGACCTGAACAGATGATTGTGCCCTGTTTGTGTCATTCATTACTACTTGCCTCATACCTCACAATTTCTTGGCTCCTGTCACTGACTTTTCATTCCCCGAGATTCCTCCTGGGGCATTTCTCCTTTTACCCTTACAGGTTGGGTCCAACTAATTCTATGTTTAGTCTACTCCTCATTAGGGGTTGATACTCCCAAACTGTTTCACATTCTTCCCATCAAATTCGTCACCTCTATCATCTTCTTGTCACTCATTTCCAACAGCCACTGGATGAGTTTCTTCAGGTGGGCGTGTGGACTACTCTTCTCATCTTCATCACCTACTATCTTCACCATCTGACTGTCTCATCTCCTGAAGATCACTGCCTGTTTCTGTTTACCATTACACAGTCTAATCAATTCTAGACTGTGGGTACCTTTTGTTTTTTTACAGCTTTTACTTATAGGATCCCACCAGATGGCTTGTGGTGCCTCCCAGCTTAAGCTTGTTTCTCAAAAATCCAGAAAGTGCTTATACCATCTGCACTGGCTCCATATATATGCCCACTGTGAGATGGGGTGTTCTACAAGACCACCTGAGATATCCTTATGGTATATTTATGTATTAGACTACTGTCTGGTCCAGACCATACCTATTCCATGGACTATCATGGAAAAAGTCAGCACCAGAGAGTGTTTAACCACTTTCCCAGCAATCACCTATTGCACTGTCTCCAGTAAAAAACCTTTCCAGCTGAAGTACTGATGGGAATCTGGGTGGTTCTCCAGGTCTCCCCACCAAAAATCACAAAATCTTCTCTCCTTTTCTCTTCAAGTGGAGCATGGGAAACCCTTCCTACTTGCCAGTTTCTAACCACTGGGGTGGTGGACCAGGGAGAATCCTCAATTAATTGGGACTTAATCATTGGGGTTAGAACAACAAGGGTTGCCAATACAGTGGGAAGTTGGACAGTGGTAATGACACTGTCAGTGTAGCTCAGGTCATTCCTCATATAACTGTACCACATACCACTTGTGCCCTCTTCCTTCTGCAACCGGAGTCTGTTCAGTTGAGTTTAGATGAGCACACACATCATAACACTGTGCCCTCCTCTTGCAGCCAGAATCCAATCAGTCTGATGGTAGAGTTGAGGTGTGCATAAGGTACATATATTGGCTCTCTGACCTCTTGTGTAGAATACTTGGATGGCCATATTCTTATTTCATTCATCCCGGTGACATATGGGACTCATTTGCCTATTCTTCCCTTATTCCTGGTCAAAGAGTAGACCCTGGAAGAGATGAGATGCAGTCTTCCATGGGTGTGCCCCTATGAAGCTCCTGCCATCAGGTGTCACATTCCATGGGCTCCCTTCAGGTACTTTCTGAAGGGAGCTTATCTATATAAATCTTTGCACCAGTTCCTCCACCTCTTCAATGTGAAATTCTAGCTCAACAGTGTGTAGAGGTGTAGTATTGCCTTGGAAGTTAACATTTTCCTTACCTGAAAATGTATTTCCAATAGATACTCATCACTGCACAAATAGTTTCTGCTTGGTAGTTGGTATATATATATATATGAAAACATCTATATATTGCAATTCCATCTTTTTTTTTATTAGGGTATTTTCTTTAGAAGTTTCTCAAGTCAACATTACAGTATTGGCCTATGCACGTGGACTGGTTACTATAAGTTCCTAACTATAAGTTGGCTTGCTGTCTTGCCCAAGTAACATAGTGATGGGGATGAATTCTAGTTAATATCAGTTTACAGATAGCCCTTCTTGCAAAATAACCTTGTTTGGTCAGTCTCCTGTTAACTATTCATCTGGATACCCTAGAATGAATGTGTTCATACCATTCTTATCGTAAGGTGTTGCAAGACTTCTTTCAACCTTGACATGTTAACCTGATCAAAACATTTTCATCTCCGGCAGTAGCTCTTTGGTTTCTACTAGTAGACTTTCCTGGAACAACACTTCCTGTATTGCAATGATGTTTTCGGATTCTGGATACAGTACACTGAAGGTACTCTACTGTTCTGACAATTTCTGTATGCTTATTGCCATTTCTGGACAGTCAAACAATTTGATGCTCTATAATTTCTGGCATGTGATGAGGCATGACTCTACCCCAAGTACAGAAAAATTGTCTGAACAAAGTGTTGATCTATTTAAAAAAAATTATACCAAAAGCACACCCTTTTATACAAAACAGATGTGTATATGTGTTTTGATGAACAAATGCTCAAAACAACTTATACAGACCAGAATAACAACTCATAAATGTTTGTCTGATCTTACGCTACCTTCTCTGTTACTACTCAGGCATTTACTCAATAATTACTCCATGCATGTAGACAATAACATCAATGTAGAACAATATGCAAATATTTTGGCCAAGACTGTATGTGAATGTTTATCTAAAAGAAGCTTCTATGTGATTTTCAAGTACTGAAACATTTATTTAAAATAATTTAAGGGTGAACATAAATGACAGTTGCTCAAAATTTTACAACAAACTCCTGGCAAACAAGGTGTTGCTATAAAAATTCACTTATCAAAGAGGTATGTGTAATAACAGTAATGTAAGTGAAAATATTTGATTGTTTGTAAGTTAGATTAAAAAAAAAGGCTGTTTTCTAGTTTTAAGATCTGAACATATGAGTGTGTCTCAGTTTATGGTTTGACTACTTGATCTAATGATCCCATACTTCCTGGATAGTGCTTTTACTTGTTTATCAGTGATTTTAATTAATTCAAGTTCCATTGCCAACTGTACAACTTTTTTTAAAGATGTATATATATATATATACTTTGATTTAGTACTATTCTCAGGTGCACAGACTACAGGAAGTTTTGCCAGAAAATTTATTATGTAATTGATATGAACTAGATAACAATGGCAAAAAAAGAAAGCTTGGCTACAACTTTTATTGATATATATTTTATAACTACACACACACCATGTATACAAAACTGTTGAACATTTTGTGTTAAATATTAAGGTAGAAAACATGCAATATGTTTGCATACTATAGAATCTATGAATTAGTCTTATCCTAACAAATGCATCATTTAAAGTGGAGCATCTGAGTAAGACAATTGGACAAGCCTTTCCACATCTTCAGCAAGTTCAATTAATGTCTTGTCCTTCCTCCTTATTTATCTCCTAAACTTTGTATTAAAAACCTTTAGATGTGGCATTCCAAATCTATTTGATAAGACAGCCACTAATTCCTGGTAGTTATTGTGACTCTGTTGCAAGTTTGCTTTCAATTGTTGTTATCTGCAATTTAGTACATCCAGAAATTTGAAGTTTGTTAAAATAGTTACTGTACATCCTATCTATGATTTGAGGTTGATACCCTCTATCAATTGCTACATGTTTAATAGCCCTATAAACAATGTTTATAAAATAATGTTTTGTCATATGATAAGGAATTAACGTATTTAAAACAGGTAGCGATTGATAGAGGGTATGAACCTCAAATCATAGATAGTAGAGAAAGAATATGTTTCACCATGGTCAATAAAAATAGGTAATGTACGTAGACAGAATATGAATTTCCAAGTATCGTTTACTCCTCAATTAAAATTAAGTCATATAATTAATGGTTTGAAAGATAAATTTGAATTAAGGGATAAATGTGGTATATATAAAATTTCATGTTCTTGTTGTCTAGATTATATTGGACAGACAAGTAGGAACTTAAAAGTTAGAGTAAAAGAATATCAAAATGCAGTGAATAAATTAAAAATGAGTGAATCAGCTTTGGCGGAACATGTGGCAAATTCTACACATGTTATTGACTGGAATAATGTAAAAATACTTAAACAGGTAACAGAAAAAGATGAACTAAATATTAGAAAATCCGTAGAAATTATTAAAAACAAAATAAATATAAATAGAGATTTAGGCCCAGGAGCCATTAAAGTAAACTTTTGGAAATTGTTGTTGTAAATAGTGTCATTGTAAAAACGTGCTAATTATACACGTACATTATGTTTATAAAAACTTCATGTGTACTTCATGACATATTCTCCTGAAGATGGTAGAATTATTTCCACCAAAACATGTAGAGTTTTTAAAGTTTCTGTTAACTTATATTTTTTAAACTTTTCAAATATATTATTGTTCAATAAAAAACGTTGATGTCTCATTTTATTAATTTTATTTAAAACTAACTTTTTTTTTACTTTTCAAGAAAAGTTTGAATTTCATAGTGTTAACAAATTTTAATTTTTTCTTATCAACTTATAAGTCTTTATTCTTCCATGTACTTTCTCCTTACAGTGAAGCAAAGACTTACAATTTTCATGCAAGAAGCAGGGTCATTCTCTTAGGACTTGCTGGATTATTTCTTCCATTTCTACTTTTTTTGAATTTTATGGTCAGCAGCTTTTCTAAAGAATTTTTTCACTCTTTTCTTGGACAAAATGGTACAGAAAGTTTATATACTTGCTTGGTAAGTAACCAACATTTTTGCACAGTTATTGTTTTTTTGTTGATCTGTTATTTAAAATTGTAAATGAGTTTTCAACACTTTCACAGCAGTTATTGAGAAAAATACAGCAAATTTTAATATATATCCTAAAAATAAAATATTAATTTCACTCATATAAAAATTTAAAAACAGAAGCATGTAGTTAATGTTTGCTCAGCATAAGTTTCTTTAGTTTCTTACATGAGTCATTATTTGTTTTGTTCATTACTTAAATTAACTATTTGCCAATCATCTATACTAACTAGCATGGCTGTGAAAAGACATCATGGATCCTGAGGGAAAAATTGGTATGTGCCCCCCTCCTCCCATCCCAACTAGATTTTGGAATGATGCCACTTACGTACATAAGCCATTGAAGGTATTATTAATGTTTATTTAAATGTGCCACTGATTTGCTATATTCTGTACACCTATTTTTTGCCATTTTCATTACCCCCTGATGGGCAATGGGCTCCAGGAAAATATCCCCAGCCTTTCTACCCTCTGTTGTCATGTCCTTTATGATCTTGTTTCTTAGTTTTACCAAGTGTGTGCTCTCTGGGAATCCTTACAGTATTCTGTTGTGGTTTAACCCTAGATGTGCAAGTAATTTGTTTTGTTTGTTTGTTCCTTAATTCTTGCTTTTCCAGAGTTTTCTAATTAGTGGTTATTACAGAATGTGATTTTTTTACAGCCTGTTGGACTGCTTTCATGTATGAACATAATAAATATTTGTTTGTGAGTGTATATGATTGTTTAATGTTTTTGTATTTATATTCACATGGAACTAGTTTGTTACTTTTCTTTTTTCCTTGAATTAATTCCTTTTCTTGTGAGGTTATTTCTCTTTCTGTATTTGTTGATCTGTTTGCTCAACTTGTACGTGACATTTTTTAGTTTTCTTATAATATATGCTATACATTCTCTTAATAGTAGTTCTAGAACATTTGATGCATGTTCTGCAGAACAGATTGTAGTAAAGTTTTTGTATCTCTTAGGTGTTAGACACAGTAATTTGTCATAACTTAGGCATGATTCTTTCTAAGTTAATGGGTCTTATTAAGTGTTTTAGTAAATTGTTTCTTCTCGTATAATTAGTTGTGTGAACTTTCTGTTTATCAAATAATTCACTAATTGAAATGTTTGTGTGCTCATGCTATCATTAAATATTAATATGTGTAAATATGTATTTAACTTTTGAATCACAGGCATGGCCTCATAATATAATTATTTTAATGTAGTGTGTATAATAATTTAGATGTTAATTAGGCTAACCTTTCAGATAGTTTAAAGAATAATAGTTTCAAGGAAATGTATAAGGAGTAGGTAATACATTTAATATTGTCAATTAGTCAGAGTTAAAGTAAGAACTGAATAGATAAAGGTGAATTGGCATCTACCATGATTGACAGGCCAACTTGTTATCCTTCATTCATATTTTGACTGTTTCTTATGCGTGCCTTCTGATATACAAATCATTTGATGATTGTTGTGTCTTTTTGGCTTTTTTGTTTTGCTCATCTACTTTCATTGCTGGAAAAAAAATTACTTTGGTGACTCATTACATAATCTTACTTACAGCTACCTCTACGATAATCAATTTTAATCCTTAAGTTACTGACTGTTCACTTTTAGGTGATCCAAATATTGCATCTTCCCAAAGAGTAAATGAGGTAGATCCATTCTGTAACAGAAGGTTTTACAATATATATTGCAAAGTAATACTGAGTTCCACTAGACAAGAGGTTTATCCATAACATAAAGTTACAGCTTACCCATGTGCTGGAAGCCTTTTCATGCATACTGCCAATGCTGGATCTCATGTGTCAAAGGACCAACTTGTCTAAGTACTAGATGCAGACTATTCCAACCAAAGACAAGCTGTTTTGATGCCAGAAGCATGTACCACTCCAGACCCAGTCTCCAAAGTCGAAAGTCCTTTCCTTGACAGAATTGGTGTAAGCATCTCATGCCATACATCAATATTTCCTAGCTTGTGGCATGCAAACTCATATGTACTTGCCAGTGTTGTTCTCATCCACTCCACATACATCTATGGTACTGTAGAATGAGGTGTGTTCTACATCACATCTACAGAGAATGTTATTTCCCATCCAAACATTAGCATGTTGAACAAACAACCAGTTGACTGCTTTTCTGTTGCACGATACGCCATCATGACATATGACAAGTGTTCATCCCAATTGGTTTGACTGAACAGACTATATCACCCATTCCACCAAACCATTCAGCTAGAGGCAATAAGGTGAAGTACATATCTTCACCTCCCAAACACTGTGTGCAACTCAGAGATTAACTTACTGTTGAAATTAGTTTCCTTATCCATGTGGATCTCTTCATGGGTACCAAAACATGCTATCCATTACTTAGCAGGAGACTGTTCAAATGTGTTGACTATTGGATATGCCTCAACCCACTTAGTGAAGTAATCAATGACAGCCAGTACATATTGATTACCTCACTGTGTCTGGAATTGGACTAGGCTATTCTCTGGAAATAAGAACCAATCATTTATTGCTGAAATTTACTGTCTAGGCTGTTTTTCCTGAATGTCGTGATTCAAACCTCACCAGCAGAATCACTGTCAAACATTAGCACTCCTGTAACATCTTGATGCCTTCAGATATTACATCAAGTCTGGAGAATTTGCATAATCAGGGCTCAAGGTACCATTAGCTGCAACACAGGATGTTACCCACATGTAGGAGGCCAATAAAATTTGAACAACATTCTGTCACACACCTGTACTTGCTTGTAGAACTGCCACAAACTGTGTGCACTCACATTACATTCCTTAACCTGTGCTGGCCACATGTTCTCTGACTGCATGGTAAGGAGCATCCATGTTTGTTCTGGGTCTTTAATTGGCTTTTCTCAGAGCTCTTGAGGGGTATGTTTTAACATCCAATTGTCTGTGAAATCTTCTACTGTATAGCTCTGCTCATAACAACTGAAATAGCTGTAACCTCAACTTGGTGCCCTTGATCTGGATATTCAGTGAATGGACATGGTCTCAACATGTGGTTTGATGGCCCATCTGCATTTCTGTGCTGTGCTCCAGGATGATGTTGTATTATACTACGATGTTATACAGCCACAACATTATGATCCAACTTGCAATCATCCCTTCCTGGTTTTTATAATTCATGAACCACTTCAGTGATGTATGATTCACCTTGAGGATAGTGTTTCATGAATACTATAACTGCAGTCAGTTTTTTCTTTGTTGTGCTATATCTGCATTCAGGAGCTGTGGGCATATAATTTGTTTATGCTATCACTCATTTAGCCATGTCTTGCAACTGTGATAGCACTTCCCTAATTCCACATTCATTGGCATTGGTATCCAACAGGAACTCGTAATTTTGCTGGGGATGTGTCAACTCAGGAGTTTTCACTGAAGCACACCAATGCTGCAAAACTCCATGTCTTTGATTTCTCTGCAGTTACAGATTTGAGAAAATCAAACAATGTCTGGTGCATTCACAAAAATAAATTGAGTGTTACTCCTGAATATCGATTTCAGTGCAAAGGAAACATGTATGACTGAAGTTTTCCAAGGTAGAATGGAGTTTAATGAATCTGAAACCATATGTGGTAGTCTATAAGTTTGAGATTTTTTGAGATGAAGAAAAGTATTTTTAATCTTAACATGAAAATCGCTCTGCACATGGACTATTCAAAACAAATACTCAATATATTCATGGACAAATCTTTTTTTAGTTAATTTAAAATACTTTGCAAAAAATATGATTTTTTGTATGTGAAAGACTTGTAACGTTAACTGAAATACTGCCAAATTTTGTGAAGATATACATACTATATCAAAAGTTAGTAGTATCAAATCTATAAAAACTTCAAATGAGTACAAAGAGGTCACGTGGTTGGTCAAGTCGACCAAGCCTGTGTTCAGAAAGTTATATACTGTAGAGTGTTTATATCTGCTGCCCAGGGAAAGAGCTGGCCAAAACAGTGTAAACTCCAGTAGAGTTGAGTCACCTCTACAGAGGATACATCTTAAGACTGAACAAGATCATCAGTACATATTTGTTGCCATCAACTACTTAATGTAATGGACCAAGATTATACATTGATTGATAATTCAGCATAGTTCATGAATGACGTGTTGCTGAAGTACTGGATAGCTCAGTTTAGAGCATTGAAAGAGATCCATATGGACCAGGAGCTCATTTCAACAGATAACTATTCTCTGAGTTGTGCAGTGTTAGTTATGGTGAAGATGCATGCTTTGCAGTATCACTCTAAGTCTGATGGTTTAGCAGAATAGGCAATACAAACTATCAAGCATATGCTTGCCAAGATTCTTAAACTAAATCAAACCAAATGGATTTTTATAAGAACTCACCATATGTCATTATGGTATACTGAACAAAGAACTACAGATTGCTTACCAAACCTGCTCATATTTGGCAGAAAATCCTGCATCCTTTTGATGTAGTGTGTGGTCCTTCTCTAGAGCAGGCATCTCAGAATGAAAACAAAAATATGTGAAGAAGTGCATGAGTTTTACACATTTACAGCTAGGAAAGACCACCATATATCAATGGTACTACAACAAAATGATAAAAGAATGGACTTACTAACATGGAAATTGAGTGTGTATTTAGTACATGATAGCAAAATGAAAGTAACTTGGTTCCAGCTGTACCAGTCTATATCTCATACTCTACAATTGATGGTCTTCTGTTTGATATGGCTGGAGTTAACACTCATTTGTGAACAGTTAGGATGGTTTGTTGATCATAAGATCGGCTAGACTGAAAAAGGTTTTGCAACCCTTACTTTCGGAGCCATCGAGCAGTTTCACCGTAAGAGATTCCCATAGGACATTAGATGATAGCTGCTCAACTATCAATAAGCTAGGATAGCCATCTAGTTGAAAAGTCAGTGAGTGAAAAGAAATAAAATTATTTGTTTTCCAAGCTATTGAGTGATTTTTC